TGCCAATAACTACCACGTGGTGTTGGAGGTCAATAACTTCCACGTGGTGTTGGATGCCAATAACTACCACGTGATGTTGGATGACCATAACTACCACGTGGTGTTGGATGCCAATAACTACCACGTGGTGTTGGATGCCAATAACTACCACGTGGTGTTGGATGCCCATAACTACCACGTGGTGTTGGATTCCAATAACTATCACGTGGTGTTGGATGCCAATAACTATCACGTGGTGTTGGATGCCAATAACTACCACGTGGTGTTGGATGTCAATAACTATCACGTGGTGTTGGATGCCAATAACTATCACGTGGTGTTGGATGACAATAACTACCACGTGGTGTTGGATGCCAATAACTATCACGTGGTGTTGGATGCCAATAACTATCACGTGGTGTTGGATGCCAATAACTATCACGTGGTGTTGGATGACAATAACTACCACGTGGTGTTGGATGCCAATAACTATCACGTGGTGTTGGATGCCAATAACTATCATGTGGTGTTGGATGCCAACAATTACCACGTGGCGTTGGATGCCGATAACTACCACGTGGTGTTGGATGCCCATAACTACCACGTGGTGTTGGATGCCAATAACTACCACGTGGTGTTGGATGCCAATAACTACCACGTGGTGTTTGATGCCGATAACTACCACGTGGTGTTGGATGCCGATAGCTACCACGTGGTGTTGGATGCCCATAACTACCACGTGGTGTTGGATGCCAATAACTACCACGTGGTGTTGGATGCCAATAACTACCACGTGGTGTTGGATGCTAATAACTACCATGTGGTGTTTGATGCCGATAACTACCACGTGGTGTTGGATGCCGATAACTACCACGTGGTGTTGGATGCCAATAACTACCACGTGGTGTTGGATGCCAATAACTATCACGTGGTGTTGGATTCCAATAACTATCACGTGGTGTTGGATGCCAATAACTATCACGTGGTGTTGGATGCCAATAACTACCACGTGGTGTTGGATGCCAATAACTACCACGTGGTGTTGGATGCCAATAACTACCACGTGGTGTTGGATGCCAATAACTATCACGTGGTGTTGGATTCCAATAACTATCACGTGGTGTTGGATGCCAATAACTATCACGTGGTGTTGGATTCCAATAACTATCACGTGGTGTTGGGTGCCAATAACTATCACGTGGTGTTGGATGCCAACAATTACCACATAGTGGTGGATGCCAATAACTACCACGTGGTGTTGGATGCCAACAATTACCACATGGTATTGGATGCCAATAACTGCCACGTGATGTTGAAAGCCAATAACTGCCACGTGATGTTGAAAGCCAATAACTGCCACGTGATGCTGGATGCCAATAACTACCACGTGATGTTTGATGTCTATAACTACCACATGGTGTTGGATGCCAAAAATAACTACCACGTTGTGTTGGGCGCCCAGAACCAAGCGAAATTGTGACAATTATTTGAATATTCTTGCTGTGAAATATTGCGTAATTGCGAATTCCAAATATCCTATGATGCAGATAACCCATTTATAATCCCACAAAATTACAACATGTTTAATTTGTGTCGACAGATGTATTATAGTACAACATATGTTCAACTAGTTGTTTAAATCCGTTGGCGAGCACTGGGAATAAATGCCAAACATTCAAAAGACATGTTACATGACAATATAAATTCTAATGTTTGCACCGAAATCAACATAAGTATCAATCTATTCCATTTTGTTTCACCATCATGCAGTACAGCACCTCAAACAAAAAGATATGTGTGTCCCCATACTCCAAACCAAGAAGTGGTGAACTCCATCGAGCTGAAAGTGAGGCAATGGGAAGTAGGTTAATGTTCATTAAATCAAACACAGCAGACGAAAAAATTAGAATAGCTCTAGCCCATGTAAACCAGCCTTCTGACTGTACTGCATTTGATTTGATGTATCACAGAAATTGTCTTAGAGACCATGAACGAAAAATACAGCAAGCCATGTCAAATTGCGATATGCAGTCAAGGTCGAAACTTGGGCAATATATTGCTGATGTTGACATCTTAAATGCCATCAAGTGCTCTTTGATTTCAGGATCTGTTATAACAATGAATGATATCAATGAAGAATATGTTTCCTTACTGACCGAAAACTATGTGGATCCTGGTTCTAGCCATCATAAAAAAAAACATCTGAAAAGTATCATATGTGAAAACATTGATGATGCCAAATTTGTTAAATCACATTGGGAATATGAAAGTGAGCAAGTAGTGAGTGAGAAACTACTTGGAATGTCAGTTAGTGACCTTCGAGAGCACCAGAATGATGGAGACAATGTCAATTGGCTTGCAAATGCAGCAGCCATATTGTGAAAAGAACTCACAACATGTGACCACTGGAAGTTCACAGGATCTGAATCGCTGAAGAAATTTGAATCTCCACCACTGCTGACTTCCTTTATCATTGAAATTAAAAACAAAGATGTGAAAGGATTAACCTAATTAAGCTTCCAAAAAGTAAATCTTGTGTCGCAACAGATACTGCATAACTTCAAAACAGACAGACCTCTTATCAACCTGTATCAGACACTGGATTCAGAATCCGAACGGAAACACCACTTTCGATTGGATTAGCACCCACGATTCAAAAACTAGAAGTAAAGATCTTGTGAATATTTTTTTCCCAGCTACAGATTGGGTCTAGTTATGACAAGGTTGTCAACATAGAAAAGCGTATCGCTTGTGGAGTACTGTTGCTGAACGAATGAAGACAACTGGTGGGTTCTGTCATTCTTTTTTTTTAATTAATCGTATATTGAAGTGTCATGTAATAAATACAATGTACAGATTTTAATTAATCGTATATTAAAGTGTGATGTAATAAATACAATGCACAGATTTTAAATAATCATATATTGAAGTGTGATGTAATAAATACAATGCACAGATTTTAATTAATCGTATATTAAAGTGTGATGTAATAAATACAATGCACAGATTTTAATTAATCGTATATTGAAGTGTGATGTAATAAATACAATGCACAGATTTTAATTAATCGTATATTAAAGTGTGATGTAATAAATACAATGCACAGATTTTAATTAATCGTATATTGAAGTGTGATGTAATAAATACAATGCACAGATTTTAATTAATCGTATATTAAAGTGTGATGTAATAAATACAATGTACAGATTTTAATTAATCGTATATTGAAGTGTGATGTAATAAATACAATGCACAGATTTTAATTAATCGTATATTAAAATGTGATGTAATAAATACAATGCACAGATTTTAATTAATCGTATATTAAAATGTGATGTAATAAATACAATGCACATATTTTAATTATTCGTGTATTGCAGTTTGGCATATTAGTTAACTAACAGAATACTGATTAACTTTTTTTTTTAAATACAATTACAAAAATAGTTGATCATAATACAAATACAAAAACACAAAAAACAAGGTCAAAGTCGCTCATGTTATATATATATATTTTTACAGTATTTTTATTTTTCTAGGTATTTCATTATATTTTCCCATTTGTTAACAAATATTTCGTGTTTGTTATATTGTTCTGCGATCGCTTTTTCTAGGTTAAAGGTTTGTTTTACTCTTTCAATGAATAAGTTTAAGTTTGGTTTAGAATTATTGAACCTCGCAATATGTAATTCGTATTTCCCAAGTAAAATTAAGTGCTT